ATGTGGGTCTGACCATTTCGGCACAATGGAAGAGCTTGGCTTCTTTATATATTTAGGTATACTTTGAGCATTGAAAATCTGCCGCTGTTTTTATATATACTTATAAGCACAAGTGTTCTCGTACACTACGTAAACTTAACTGGAAAAATACGACATGAATAAATTTATAAGCATACGGTTATGATCGTACGATTACAAATTTTATATGTGGGTACGTACAGAGCCATTTGATTGTGCCAAACCATAAGGTAGGTACATGATTATAAATATTAATCTAAAAATTTAAGCCTTATCTTAGGTCTGTGTCACGAATTTCATACTCAACTAGAACAATCAGAAAAAATTTGATTGCCTCTACCAGGAATCGAGCCCTCAACCCCTTTTTATAATCTGTGTTGTCTCAATGGCTAGCACTCTAACCAATTGAGCCAACAATAATCTCTATAGGTATAGGAAAAACGGTGAAAGATTTGATATTCTAAGTATACCTTTATGTACAAAGAAGCCGAGCCCTGCCAATATGCCAAAGTGGTCCTAGTACTCGAGTTTGGGCGCTCTCACTGTTTGGCTTGTGAACGTTTAGTGCTACTACTGAACTGTAGAGTACGAGATAGGAGAGAAGGAGAGAGGGGTAGAGAGGTAGAAGTAAAGTAATAGAAAAGTTTAGCGTAAAGTACAGTGTGTTTATCATATATGTACGTATTTCTACCACTGCTTTATATGAAGACAGTTCGAATTAATGGGATACATGCAATACACGTGATTGGAAAAATTGACAGAAACTAGTGGTTGCCACTTAGCGGGTGATAGGTGGTACTATCAAGCGGGAAGTTTGAGATCAAAGCTGTGCGTGACATTTCAAAATTAAATTTATGTTAAACAATTGACTTTAATTAATAATAAATATTTTAATAATTGACAATAAACAAAATAATACCCCAGACAGTAACAAATTTAATTACCTTGCCAAAGAGTACATTTTTACTACCATTTCCAACAACGATTTGTGGACTAAAAGACTATATAAAGACAGTCATTATTAAACCAAGTCAGTCGTCTACTGACAGATATCATGAGCAGAGTTGTTCATCACAAGTCTCGGAACCCTGGCGACCGATGACCCTATATTACCCTCTCAACTCTAAGCATTCAACAAAGGATCAACGATCCTCTCTATGTTCTGTGCTGGGTAAGACTAACAGCTATGAAGAAAAAATAAACTTAAACAAACTGAGCAGTCTCCAACGGTCATGCATTTCGAACCAATCTCCCCTCCTTAGATCACCAAAACAACTGGATTTATAAAAAAAAGGTGATTAAGACACCAGCGTCATTGACGTAATACCAGGAGACGTTGGAAAAAAACTCTACAACCAGCCCTAATGCTTCAGACATTACAGTTCTTTTTCTGATCAGTCTGGTGATACAATAACAGTCCAGAGAAGTTCGCCTTGAGTTACAGAGGTAGTAACATTTGCTAGAAATTTTAGTCAAAAAAGAGTTTGCTTTAAAAGCTCATTGGTCCTTTTTAGGGCCCTTGGACGTCAAACTACTTTGCCAAAAAATACATAAGAACTCAACAAAGTTAACGAAAAACATCTTTTAAGGTTCACAAAAGTCATAACCATGCCAAAAATCGTAAGAGGGTGAATTGAAAGGAAAACCTCATATGCACGGAAGTTTAAAATTTTAGACGTCAAGAAGCTGATGCAGAATATTTATCGAGATTTAAGCAGCAGCATGAAAATTGACAAATAAAGAGTTTATTAAGTGAGAAAAAAATACAGGGATAAGGCTCCAGGACTTTTTTTCTCTTGTAATATTGTGAGATAAAACAAAAAAATTTTTCAGTTTTACATTTTTTTTTTTTTTTGATTCTCCAAAAATTTTGGATACAGCTGCCGTGAGCGCTGTCTGAGTTGATTCAACGCGTCAAAAGTAAAATACAATGGTTCGATTATTACAGAAAAATGGTACTTTGGTGTCAATCTCTTGCGTCATTTGATAACCTTGAAATAAGACCTCTGGTGGCCCAAATGATTTTTCCTAATGTAATAATAACGAATCGTATAATTCGAGTAATTGTCCGGATCCTTTGTTATTTGACAGGCAAGACGATTCGGTTCACGCGCGCGAGCTGACGGTGCGATGATATACCGGAAGAGAGTAAGTATATTATACAAACCGAATCAGTGCTGAGGATCGAAAAGGTGAAACAGGTGTAACACCAAACAGCCGCGCGAGTACACGTAATATGTTATTCACTCTGTTATTAATTATTTCCTTCGTTTTTTTTTTGTTTCCCATATTTCGTAGATGAACAGATCCATCAGTCCAGCGATAACAATGAAAAAAAAAAACAATTCCTACGTGGGTACATCTTTTTTTTCGTTATCATCGCGATCTTCTCTTAAAAATCTCGGACGTCCCCGTCTTGTTAAACGCTTCGTTGCTGCCTAGTGTATGCGTGAGGTGTTGAAACCCGTTGTATACGCGAATCTTGCCCTTCGTGCACGACGCACGGTACACAAGTTGCACGTCAATGTCAGACAGATTACAAGCTGATGGTGCTCTTGTCGGACGTTTTGAAATCCGTGTACCATTCTTTTTAGCGCCTCGGGCCGGGAATAATGGGTTCTTTTTTTTTTCTCTCCTCTCATTGGTTCATTTGAATATGGTGTGTTGTGTACGCAGCGTAGCGTGATTTATCAAGCGATACGGGGTTCTGTTTTTTCTCGTTGAATTTTGATATAAAAATTCGTACTTTAGATGGATGTTCAGACTCGTTCAATATTTTGGGATTGAAATCAATCTCGTGGGTAGCTTTGAAATTTGGTGGCATCAACTTTCTTTTTTTTTTCAGTGCATATTAACGCGAATCGTAAAGATTTATCTTTACCCTTTGAAAAATTTGTAAAGCAATTCAATTTATAGGGTCAAAGATAGACTTAGGGATGGATACTTTTCCAATTTTTAGCTAATATAGTGTATAATACATTACGAGTGTTGAAATATACATATTTTTTTTATAATTACTATTTATTTATTACACTGTTCAATAAAATTTTTTCCATAGACAAAAAATTGGAAAGAAAAAAAATTTATAAGAAAAATTGGTCAAACTATTTGAAAAAAAATTTTGATTTTAACTGCACTATTTTCAAAACATTTTTCTTAATATTATGTTGTGAATGGAGAAAAATACGTAGTTTTCCAGCGAAAGTAAATGAACTTTGCTCAGGAAACAAAGTTTAAATTATTTATCATTAAATCCAGAAAGTAGTCGTGCCCGAGACTTAAAAACTCCAGGAATGCACCTATGAATCTCTCAAAAATCGCAATTTCTGTGAATGGACAGTAACAAAAAAAAAAAAAAAAAAACCCATGGGTGCGACTAAGAAAGAAAAAATACAACAGAATAGTACATTTTTCTCGGCAAAAGTATTGTTCTACTAACTATTTTGAAAGAATTTAACAACGTAGCGTAGGATATACCCATATTGGACGGTGCGCGTAACGCACAATGTTTTCCCAATTTAATTGTCAATACAACGCTTACACAACGGGGAAACACAATACACGTACAGATGGATACTTCGTAAACTCCGACGTGGTAATTTGCATTAAATAATAGTGGTAAGAAACGAATTCATACGCGCGTGTGCCTAAAATGGGAAACAATTAAGGCGCTATACACGACATAACATAGACATATGTAACATTGCGAGCTCGTACCTGAAATCGTAGGAGCCATCGATGTCCTGGACGTGGTTTTGGCGCAGAATGGCGACGGGCCGGCCGTAGTAGCTGTTGGGCTGGACCACGCCGGGGTTGTACGCCGGGATGGGCCGGGGCTGCTGCTGTTGGCGCTGGGGGTTGAACGAGAACTGCGGCCTGGCGCTCACTTGGGGAGCGCAGATCGAGAGCCCCGCCAACACTACCTGGAGGATTCACACGACCAACGGAAACAGAGAAGATATTGTTTATTTTATCGAAACAACTGGTGGTTGTTTTTTTTTTTTTTTTTCTTTTCTTCCTTTTTTCCAATTGTCGTTACGGCTACGTGAGCGTGGGGCTCCGCGCATTAACCACCGCCGCGATGTGCCTCCTGTGTTTGAGAAAGAGGCGAGGAAGACCTTGTCTCGTCTTCGCACGTATACAATGTGATGCATATCTCTATCTCTTATTCTTTTATTTATTTTATCTCTTTCCGGACATACTTATTTATATACGTGTACTCGCACTGTGAGATTATTGCACGTGCATCACAAGATTAAGTGCTTATATTATACTATGTATACGTGGAGGATTCGCGTTGCGACATGGAATCTCATGGGATTGGGTTTGCGTTATCCGAAAAATTTCAATTACTTTTCTTTCAAGGGCAAAATTCATGACAAAGTTGCTTACAGGATATACATATAACCCAATAAATCCTAATTTATTACCATCGTACATTCGTTACGTGAAGCATACAAACACATACGCGTGGGTAAGACAGTATAGCGCTCATTAAGAATAGCCACAAGTTGTATAACACACGCACATCATTGTTATTATTATTATTATTACTATTATTATTATTATTATTATTATTTGTGCGCTAATGATGAAGTTCAGGTGTGATTGATGAGTATAATATTTTCAAGAAATATGAAAAAAAAAAAATGAATCATGCGATTGAAACCCATGCATTAAGTTTAAAAAAAATTTTTGTACGTCCCAATGAAAAATTCGAAACTCGTGGACCTACACCCCCACGGGCTGTAAATATACGTATAAGCTTCGAAAGAGAATCAATGGTAAAAAATCACGCGAAACTTACAAAAGCAACTCTAAGCTTCATTGCTGTGGTCATCTCTCGCACAAGTCACAAATTAAAAATCTCTCGAATCGTCTAGCTGTGCGCGTAAGAATGAAAAAAACGAAAAAAATAAATAAAAACTCTTTGAATCCTCACTCGAATCACCAAAACCGAACCTGCACCGGCTTCCTACGGCGCATTGTACCCGCCAAGTGGATCCCGCGCCAATTTATAGCGACGCGCCACGAATGGCGCTTCACCATTAGACACACGGGGGGGGGGGGGGGGGAGGGATGATAATGATGATCGGCTCAACTCATCGGCGTGCGTGAGTCTACACACACAATGCAGATCTGTCTCTCTTTCTCTCTCTATTTTTCTCCACCCGGTACCTCCCTTTTTTTTGTATTGTTAAGGATCGTTTTGAAGAATTAAAAAAAAAAAAAAAAATCATCGAGCTTGCGTTTTGTTTGAAAGAATGAATAAGCCGGAGGTGGTGGTGGTGGAATGTTTGAATTCATTACGACAGTCGTAGCACTACACAGTCGACCGGTTGAGGTACGGAGGATGGAATCTTAATTGACGGTGCGAACAATCAAGTTGACTGACGACGAGGAGAAAATAACGCTTCGGGAGCAAAGGGAACCTTGAGGTGCACTGACCGACGACATTACGTTGTATTTTTATACATAATATATAGGTTCGATCACCCGTGGAGATATTGGCATTGTTGACATTTTCTGTACGAGTAATTTTCAGCAAAATCAAATACATTGATGGATGTAATTTCATTTTTTAAATTCGGTGTTCGTAATTTTTGTGGTATCCCAAAACTCTATTTTGCCACTACTTAAATAATGGTGGGCTATACCGTTTAAGAAATATTTTTAGTAATATATACTGGCTCCATGCACTGCTAAAAGTAGTAGAGTTTTCTTCAACGAACAAATTGTGGCAATTAACGTTAAACCTCACAGTTTTTACATTTTGACAGTTTTTGCCCGAGGAAAGCAAAACACTGCACCGCTCTTTTGTACCTGTACAAAGACAAAACGTGTACAGATTTAAAAAATTTTTTTTTTTTATTAAAAAACACCGCCGGCTTTGCCTCGAGCGATACTCTATACACGCTGACAGGAATGCGCTACTTTTCTCAGCCTCGTTTGGCGTGGTATTTTATAAGAGGTACCTATACGGGATGGATTAAAATAAATCCCCGTACCTTAACAATTTACGGCACTATAGATTACATTGTGCATCTCTAATGATGTAAGCCAAAATAATCACAGTTCTTATTGCTCTGGTAAACGCTGCATTAGCTAACTATTTTGCCCAAATGTAGCAAATAGTTGCGTTTAAATTCCGAAACATACCTAAATATGTATCGGGGAAAAATTACGCAATAAGGATATATTTTACGCGTATTTTTTTTGTTTATTATTCAAAAACTGTTTCGATATCGTTAGGGTGGGAGATGATTATATTGCACGTCCCGATGTTTGTTCTCGGCCGAAATTAAAAAAAAAAAAAAAAAAACAGACATACCAGGTAGGGTGTAGGAAGCACGTGTCAGATCGGCCCGTGCATTATCATCTCCCGGTTTCGCAACCCAAGCCAAAAGTATTGTACGCGGCCTTTCATCAGCTGGCGATACGCGGTACAGCGAGAGATGCACGATGGAATGAAAAAAAAAGAGAATATCCCGAGAAATTTATCGAGACGATCAAAAAATGCCCCCTCCCCGCGCTCGTTGTTGCGGCTATACGCGCGAATCGGATGCCGGTGTTTGGCCCGGAAAAATATTTTTCTCTCGTCCATTGTTCGACCGAGTGTTCACGCAATTTTCGCTCGCGGGGCTCGACATTTTGTCTACGCCACTCTCGCGTACGTTTATTTTATAAAGATCAAATACCCCCACCTCCCGCTCCACCTGCTTTAAATTATCAATCTTACAAAATTTACTTATTGTTTTCTCTTTTTTTTTTATGTTTTATCCACATAATCGTGTATTTTGGCTCCTCTCGTGCACTCGCGCGTTTATTGGGCATTATGTGGTTTGCTCGTTGCAAACAAAAGTCAAAAGGTCGTTAGGCACATTTTGATCCTACGATCGTGGAATGCGCCGTGAATTAAAAAAAAAAAAAAAAAAAAAAAAAAGGGAAAGATCGTTTGCTGCAACAGTGCGGTGGGTATGGCAATACGAAATACGAGGTACTTATACGAGAAAGCTCCACCTCCGCGCTGTAGGTCGTACATTAGTTTTCGTCAGGAATGAAAAAATGATTTTCAAAACCCGATGATTTTTTTTTTTTTTTTTCTGTAAAGCTTACAATATACCATACGTATACATACGAGGCGCGCATAGATTTTTCCTTCCTCTCCCCACACACACCATGTGGTGTGCTTCTAATAGATCCATTCTTCTGCGATTCATAAGTCATTTGCAAAAGTCGATGTCTATTGCATTATTGTTTTTTTCCCCCTCCTATTGTAAAGCCATGTAAATTTATGTGCCTTGTGTGTTTGTGCGTGCAACACGCTACGTGCCCCGAATAATCCTTTTTTCCTTAAAATCGCGCACCTGTAATTAATCCTCGAAAATAGGTATAAAGTATAATACCCACGAGTGTCTAATGATGACGCGGAGAATCGTATATGTATGATTGAAAACTACCACGGCAAAAAGTAGATGGAGGGAGAGAATTAAGAAACAACAACTGTATGGGATAGGAGCGCAGCAAATACAATGGCCATAGTCCAGCCCACAATAAGAATAACGTTATGGCTGAAGAATCGCGAGCACGAGCGCGCGCGCGGGGGTACCTATCACGATATGATGCTGTAAGTGGCGCAAGCAAAAGTTTGCATGTATATACACATAATTACATCCATACAGCGCCAATTGGAATGTTTGCGTATATTATATGTGTACGTACATCTTGCGCCTTTCTCATGAGTATAGGTATACGGACCACATCGATGTATATTGTATACGCACTGCACGCGTGTAGGTATACAAGGTATGCACGGAGATAAAGGCGACGAAGACGGTGATGATGATGATGATGGCGATCTCAGGGCGTGTTCCTTTCACTACTTTCGTATTGCATTTATTCGTCCGTGTTGGATAATATATATTATATCTGTACATCAAGCGGTTCTATTCTGCGCGTGTAAGTAGGTACACGCGGCGTGCGTGAGTTTTTTTTTTTTTTTTTTTTTTTTTTTTTTTCACAATGCCGCGTTGTAGGTATACGCACACGCGCATCATAATAGAACACACAACACCTTCCTCCGGTCCGTTTGCACATAGGTACGTGTAATAGTACACAAGCGTGCCTATTTTACAAAACAGGGAGTTGCCGGTATAGGCGTAACCCTCGCCGGCGGATTATTGTCGGGATGCTAATGTACCTATACCTACCCACAGCCGTTTCTTCTTTTTTTTTTGTTTTTTCTCTCGCGATTGTTCTTTTTTTTTTTTTTTCGTCAGTGGCCCTCCCGGATTTTTCTCCCGTTGCGATTGGTTTTCGATCGGGCGCCTCGCGTTTGGAGAGCGTTGGTTGCGAAATCGATGCACCGAAAGATGATGGATCAAGTGCGCCTGTAGTCACGACCGTATAGGCTTTCGCGCTGAATTTGCCAATCCCCGAAATTAGTAAGCTTTTTTCTCTCCGCAGCTGCGAATCCATAGGTGGTTTATGTATATGTACATGATACGAAAATACGATGAATCGTACAATATAATGTTGCTTAATCGATCAGTGACCAATTATATACGATCCGACGTTGGCTCGGCGCATATGTCAAATCCGGCTCGTAAACAATAATTTTTACGTCTTCCCTATAAACGCATATGAGTGGGTATCTCCGATAATTAATTCATAAACGCGAGCGTCGACGATATAATCACTTTGAAAGAAGAAAAAAAAAATCACCCATAGTTTTCCGATCAAAAACTCCTATGCCATCGGTCCTTGATTTCAAAGGTCGGAGCTGTACGTGCACACAATATCCTCTTTGGCGCGACGCGTGTGGTTACGCGAGTATACTTGAAAAACTGTACGAGTTTTGAAAAATCCTTCGCAGATACTTCTCGTTTAGTCCCGTGTAATGCACGAAATAATTGTATGTTTTCTCGCGCGATTGCGCATCATAATCGCGATTGGCCGATAAATTTCAGCTGCTATCGCGCAATTGATTGATCGCGCTTTTATAATGCGCTTGGGTATTTTATCTCCCGTCCGCGCCATTTTGTCGGACTTGAACTCGCGCGCTGATAAATCATCGATCATCTCTCGCTATTATACCTTGAGCTCTTGGGTTTATCGGTGGAAGATCTTTACAGTCGTTGGCAAAAAAAAATCGGTTTCGTAAAATTGATCACTCGTTTTTAGCGGCCGTTATCTATAGAGTTGTCATTTGATCTGCGTCAGTTTGATATCCATAATTTTAAATTGTGGCGGCGAACAACGCTGCGGTCGATCTGGTGATCCGAAAAATCGCTCCACCGCGTGAAGTTGCTCAAACAACAATGTAGGAGTTTTGGATCTTTTTTTTTTTTTTTTTTTTTTTTTTAAGTTCCAAATAATCTCGCAAGAGGTGTTTATTTTAGGATAAAGTTTTAATGAACATTTGGTGTTTTGCGAGCGCTGTGTAAGCTTACTTACTTGTCTGCAATTATCGAGCGAAGATGATTGACAGGATTCGTTGCCTCGAAGGAGGATGCAGGTAATATGTATGGAGTAACAGCTTTTATGGGATAATTATACACCAAAAGAGGCTCTGCTCACGTGTTTTTATGAATATTGATGCAATAATTTATTTATCATTTTGCTCAAGTAGAATTATTTCGAATTTTTTTTTTTTTTTTTTTTTTTTTTTTTTTTTTTTTTTTTTNTTAGCAAGGGACAATTTTTCTTACTCGACGGCGCTACCCGACATAGGCGCATAGCGAATATATCGAGAGAAATATCTCGTTCTAGCTGACACGCGATTGATTTGTCTTAAATCTTGTACTATTGTATTAGAAATAATAGGCTAAACATTTTTTTGTTTTTTTTTTGTTAAATTGTCATCAACTTTTTTGGTCCACAAGGCACTGACACTATACATGATGATTATTTATACAATATATAAATACATATTTCTCTTGTATAAAAAGACGAGAAAATAAACATCAATGCTTTCGTAAAAAGTATTTAAAAATATAATACTTAAAAATATTTTAGATAATATATTATGTATAAACGTTACAGAGCGCATACATTTCAAGTTTTTCTCACTGACAGCAGTTTACAAAAAAAAAATGTTTTTTTTATCTAAGATAGGGCAAGTACGAGGCGCGATTAACAAAGTACACGAAAAACAATCATCATCCATTAGATTAAAAAAAATTTTTTTTTTTCGCATGAGATCTATAATTGCCCGTGCAGTGTGTAGTTAAGGTATATACCTTTAGATTATTTTTTTTTAGACAAAGTACTGTTTCTAATTGTACGAATTCCTTGGACCTGAAATATACAAATGACAACGATTCAGCATTCCAAGACTGTGAAATGCAACGCACTAAAGTATTAGGTACAATTAAAAAAAAAAAAAAAGAAAACAATGACATAAATTCGACGCGTCGTTCTGACGTTTCGCTCATCATTGCTCGTCTCTCCCCGTGAGACTTTTAAGCAAACAAGTGGCTGTACCTCTTGTACTTGTCCAAATAAAAAAATGTACAGTATTACTATGTGCAAGACGAACTGGTTATCCTCGCAGAGGAAAAATACTTAACGAATACGTATCCATACGGTTTTGTAAAAATATATTATGTATATAAATATAGCGTGCGTGGAATAAAAAACACATACACGTAATGAAAAAAAAGGGGGTGGGGGGGGAGGATTCTTTAGACAGATCTAGACTTTTCACTTTCCAACAAGAGTTTAAGTATCTGCGCGCTTCCTTCGCTAATCAATGCTTTACACGAGTGCACAAACCGTAGCCTCCTCGTGTGTAACAGTGACTCTTGAAATCATATTGTATTAAGCCTCTTTATCTTTAATAACGAATAACCCTTTACGATACACAATTTTCATAAGTACGAAAAAGTTAAATTTAGAAATGGGCCACGTTGAACATTGTACGAATACCAGCGGCGAGCGCTCAATGTCCTACTCGAAGAAATCCGAGGCATATAGTTGACGCCGTGTCGAAATGTCTAAAATCGAGAGCACGTGCATATATATACAACAAACAGCCAACACCGTGTTCTCGCTCCGCTTAGCATGTAACCAGCAGCCAACAGGGGCGAGAACACCTTATGGGAGGCACCCCACACCTTCAGGGCAGCTCGTTAAGATTCAAGGAAATGAGACAAATAATACAGTACACGCCCTCATCGATGATTATTTAGCTGAACCAGTTCTCGGAATGATAGTAAGTTTTAATGGTTTTTTTTTTTTTTTTTTTTTTTTTAAATACATTTATCGCGTGGCTCGACAGAACTGCGGCCGGAAAAAGAAGTTGAGGAGTCTTATCTCGGTTCAGCCCTCCACCGAAAACTCCTCGCGCGTTTGGGACACACAAACATACACGCGTACAGGTGGACGCCGATTATCACGCACCAATATCGATGTACCCGACACGAATTCCTTCACACACACCATTTTCCGTACCATAGTCTTGTAAGTACAAGGTACATAGGATAGATGGATTTTTTGTGCACAACGCACCATGAGTACACGGTGTACTCGAGCGTGCAGTTGTTACAGTAGATGTCGTCGAGAGAAGGGTGTCAGAGTGGAACAACAATTAAGCATGTCGTCGATGCGCGCTCGCGTGCAATTTCTCAAATCTCGCTTTCGATGGGTAAACAAAAGGAGGTCCGGGGGGTGGGGGTGTATGCGCATTAGACCCCGGCGGAATGGTTGTTTTTCGGTTTCTTGGGGACGATACTCGGCTGCCTGTGAGTCGGCGAGTCGCTGAGCGGCTGCGAATCCTCGGCCGACGATTGGGGGTACTTTTTTTGATCGGGGTAGTTCCAGGGCTGGATCTCCGCGGTCCCGAAGATCTGGTAGACGACGTAGGTGCCGCAGGCCACGCACGCCGTCACGATGAACACCCGCTGCCACGCGTCCAGCGATTGCTGACGTAACCAAAATCACAATTAGTTTTCGACTAATATTATAGACAATCGATCAGAGTATGTTGTTTGCATCTTGTTTTTTTTTTTTTCAACTTACGCTCTCCTGGGTGAGCCAGCCGGCAGCCAGAGGTGAGAGGAAACTGGCCGTCATGTGAATGGTTTGTGCAAATGCCAGCACGGGCCCTGATCAAGAGAGAATTTTATTTTTTTACTATCAATATATAAGATTGTCTAGAGAGAGAGAGAGAGAGAGCAGTTTGTGCTTACCGGCGAAATTCGGGGCGATGTCGACGATGTTGGCCATCGCTCCGGCGTACGCGGCTGTGATGAGAGTCACGGCGACGAACCACACGGTCAGCGCCAGGACTATGTTGCAGCCCAGGTAACCGATGAACACAACTAGAATCCCAGGAATGACTTGAGCTGAAAGCAAAAGGACCAAGTAAACAATTAAAACCATCGTCACGTGAACGACCAAATGTATAGTCAAGTGCGATACTTACACATGGCGGTGAATATTTTACGGACGTTGGTCAGCGAGAGCAGTTGTTTAGTGACCAGTAGATCGGCGATGTAACAAAACACGACGGAGCCAAAGTAGCTGCAGATGAAGGGTGCACCGGACAGCACGCCGTTCTGTGGTTGGACGATGAGAAAAAAATTTTTTTTGATTGTTACTCCGTGCGTATGTGTATATATGTGTGGTATAATAACATGTGTATTGTGCTTTTTACTAACAGCTTGAATGCCGAGTCCGAGAACGGTCTTGATGTACATGGGCCCGGTGATGATGAACACGTAGTGGACCCAAATTCGCCCGAAAGTCGTGATACCGATAGACCAGGCCGGCCACGAGGTGAGGATCGATCGCCACGGCACTGACACTCCCTGCGAGCGATATCGTTGCACGTTATATGATGAACAAAGAAAAAAAAAAGAATTGGGTGTACCTCTTTGTTGTCGCTAGTGACTCCGCTGATGCTGCCCTGAATGTACTGGAACTCCTCGGTGGAAATGCGGGGGTGGGAGCTCGGCGAGTCGAAGGCGAAAAAGTACCAAAAGACGCACCAAACGAGGCCTATACCGCCGGTCGTGTAGAACACCAGGCGCCAGCCGTAATTCGCTATGATGAAGCCAGCCAGGGGGTAAGTGATGCCGATGCCGAAACTGAAGCCTGCGCAGCCAAACAGAACCGAAAACATCCGGAGCGTTAAGGGAGGACGAGAGCACCGGTGCCTGTAGCACTCTCACCCCCTTCGTCATCTCTCTCTATGAATTTTCATATTTTCTTTTTTCTTTTTCATTTTTTTTTTTTTTTTTTTTTGTGGTGTCTGTGTTTTCGGCTCTGCGCTCACGCGTGGTGTCGATGCTTGGCGCGACGGCGGTATCCAGCAGCAGCAGTAGTTTCGATAAGCGATGATGATTGTGGATTGTGGATTTTGGGGTTGGTGATCAGAGACACACGCACTTGTGATCGACTGACTGAGAGAGAGACTGTCGGAGTATATGATCTAAGCCCCGCAGCCGGAGAAGAAGAAGAAGAGGAGGGCGGCGCAGTCTGCAATGGCCGGTTGAAAATGAAACAACAAAACAGGGCTGTATTAGTCTCTCGCCGCTTCAACCTTTCTTTCTTTTGTTTGTTCCTATCTTTGTTTCTTTCACGTGTATGCGTGTTTTTTGAATTTTACTGTGTATATGAATACGTGGGTGTTTTTTTTTTTTTTTTTTTATATTTACACTCGCTCTTTCACGCTTAGATTGAACGAAAACAAAAAAAAAAATTACTTTTTTTTCAAATTAAACGTAATAATTGATGGTTAGTTGTGAAGTTGAATGATCACTTTTTTTGGATACAGTTTTATTCGTGATGAAAAAAATCAAAGTGATCATTCGTATTATTGATTTCGGCTGTTGAGAAAATTGTGTGCGAGGAAAATCGGTGGAATGGTGTGAGTGGGACAATGAAACTTCTATACCTGTAAATAACGATTTCCAACTTTATTAGACTCGATGGATCTCATCCTGTGTGTATTTAAGCGTTAGAATTTTGAATTTTTTTCAGAACATAAATAAAAAAAAAGAAAGAAATAAATACCTGCGTGAAAGTATTAATAGCCCAAGTGTAGCAATGTTGATTTACATACGCACATGATAAACTCTAAATTTGAATTGATTAGTTGTTTTATCATTGTGTAGAACAACTTTTATGAAACAGATTATAAAAAAATAAATTAATTTTCATATCGACCATTAGATAAAAATACAGTGATAAAAGATCGACTAACGATTGCATAAGCACTGCATTACTAATTCAAATTTAGAGAGTCACATGGTTGAAGAGCGAATAGGAGTGAAAAACGAAATTATTATTAAAAAAAAAAAAAAATTTGAAACGGTATAGAAAATTTTAGATGCAATGCACACGCCATGATAAGTATTAAATTGGATGTTAAAGTATACTCGGCCTTTCTCATGCTGTTGAGTGGTCACTGATGAGTATACCTTGAACTTGAACTTGGTCACTTCGTATGGCTGCCGCCTATTTTTTGTGTTTTTATGTTTGTCGCACTCTCTTTCTCTGCCACTCTACACGTGTACTCGGGCACTCACACTCACTGTCGTCGGCTAATTCTAATGAAACTTTGTTTCCGCACAAAAGGAAAATTAAAAATATTTCAAATATTTCCTTGAAATCGAGAAAGAAAAAACATGAATTTGCATTAAAGTTATTCAAATTTAAAGGATTATTAATTGTTGTTGAGATAAATGTTTTGCATTATTTTTGTTAGTTTTTTTTTATGTTAAATATCATTTATAAAATTATTTCGTTTGCATGTATAGTAATATAAAAGAAATATTATTAATATTGCATTGATATAATTACACTGGTTTTTACAGCTGATGAAGAAAAATAAAGCATTTTAGTAAATTGTCAACATATATTTTTTAGGTAAAACAGCATTTGCGTTAGATAAAGTGAGAAAATGATTTATTTAGAAAAAAAAAAATCAATATTTTAAATTATCGTAGCCAGACTGAAATTTAAAAAATCGTAATAATTATTATTAAGACATAAATTTCACTTTTCTCCCTTTATCTTGCTAAAACTAAAGTTATAACGACACAAAGTGCCTCCTCGTATTGTTAAAAAATTTTTTCACATTATTCACACATAAATATTATTACTCGTCTCAAGCGGCAAGCTGAAAGTAAACTCAAATATGTCAAATAATCGTGGCTATAGAAAAAAAAGTACCTAAACATCTGAAAATACTTTGCGAGATTTGGAAAAATTAAAAAATCATACGAGAGTCATGGTTGAAATTAAAGACTAAAATCATGAGAGATTCATATGGCGGGGTTTTGTATGAGAGTGTACCAATTTTGTATTTATATTAAAATAATTTATATCATAATATGATATGCTATACAACTCGTTCGTACTTGAAGATAAAATTGATTAAGATAGGTAAAAAGTCCCATGATTATATTAAAATAATTTATAGTAGTATATTTTTTTGATAATAATTAGAAAATTAATGATAGTATGGTTATTATTATAAGTATTGAAGTTTCACTGTAACACACGAAATTTTTTGTTTAGCTTAACCAATAATATAAATAAGTATAGAAAAAAAGAAAATCATTCGAATGTTTACAATACATGTATCACATTTTCATGTTATATTATGAAATTTCAATTACCTTGAAATGACGACATAAATCTGGAACGTTCGACTGCGGGTATCCATAATCCAACAATTGCGTACATGGCCGGCCACGTCAGTCCCTGCATAGTTTAATATTTTTTATTATTTTTATATACCTTCAATGACGCACAAAAATTTTCTTTGAATTACTGAGTCGCAAATGATAAGTCACGAAAGGTCGACAATTTATAAGTCGAGCTCAAAGTATTTTTTTCATCGATAAAACGCAATTATCGAGTTACTGCGTGAAATCAGTCCATTCACACATTGTTTTAAAATGTAACTCGATCCACCGGGCGCTCGGAAAGATATCGTGAAAAGCCATACCGCTCAATTGAAAATCAATAAGTTTTATCACGACAAAGCGAGCCAGGAAATTTTTTCAGTTTTTTTTTTCCCCCCATCGACATTCACTTTGAAAAATTCACTCCGATAAGCTACAGCTATTTAAAATAATTAAAAAAAAAAAAAAAAAAAATCAACTCCCACGACGTTCATGTAAATGTACATAACAAATAATAAACTCACACTAGCGATCCCCTGAACGCTGCGGAGGGCGATAATAGCGCCGTAGTGAAATTCGGCGGCAGTTGGTATGAGCAAGCTGCAGATGGCCGTGATGAGCTGCGAGCCACCGAACACGGTCTTGGTGCCGAGGTACTGGGTCAACACGCCCCCGACCACTTGAGACAGGATGTAACACCAGTAAAAAGAGCCGATCATCGTCGACTGGATGGCTGGGCTCCAGTCGAATTCGCCCTCGTCTTCGGCCTGTATACGTGCACAATCAAGGGTTTTTTTTTTATTTTTATTTTTTTTTATTTATTTATTTTTTTTAAATAAATTGGGGGAAACTTGTACCTTGGCTGGTAAACTGACGTTCTCGGATGTTTCCTGCGTCGCGTTGACCGGCGCGGCGTTGCAGCTTATGGACAACGAGAGGTTGTTGGCCGATTGGTACTTGACCATCGACACCATGGCGATGTTTATGTCCATTCGCATCATGAACGAGACGACGAAGCCCGAAAAGGATAGCATGTACAGGACTACGCGGGCTGGTACCATGTCTACAGTGTTAACGGTGATAAATGATTGATGCTTTCGTGGCAATGAGCAATGATTGTCGTTCGTTGTTTTGAAAATGTAACAATTACCTGCAAATCTGCGCACGTAGTAAGCCGGTGGTGTTTTGTACGCGGGCGATTCCTCGTACCTGAAATCAAAACGCACACAGGACCGATTGAATTGCAATTAACCTATGCGTGCACGGGACCTATTTTTAACCTATAAGTTTTTTTTTAGTTTGTGATGAAAAAATCAAATAGTTAAGTAATTGCAAACACGCGATACGGCTGAATGTGTTTATTGTGTCAATTATTCAATGTAGCCTCGTTTCGATCATACCTAACTAATCGAAGGATTTTTTCCTTTCCCGATCAACGATGACCAACATTTAATTTTAATTGCTCGGTTGCGTGAGTTTTATGGAAAAAAAAAAAAAAAAAAAAAAAACGGAGCGGAAAACTTTATTGACGACTAACAGGTGCGGCATACACGTGAGTTTAATACATTATCGTGCTGTGTGAGCCCAACATTTTACTGGATCCAGATTTTATTTTTTCCGGCCAAACGAAAGAGAAAAAAATTACAACGGCCTACAGTCACATGGAAGATTCGCGAGAAAATTTACATAAATAATTGAAACCGTACGAGCAAACGTGCAATAGTTGCACCACCCAGTCGAGAGGTGGAAAAGCGCATTTATTGAAATTTCAAAAAATCCATCTCGATTCAATAAAAAGTGATTCCTAGTGCGCTGATGCGAGGATTACGCAACTCAAAGAGGTATCAAATGATTGGCCGCGGTTGAGGATAAAAATACGCAATTACAGTTTAACCGGTGCATGCATATTAAGTTTGCACTGCGACTTCGGACAAGTGACTAGAAGGAAATAGACGGAGAAAAAAAAAACATCTGGTTCATCTAATTATAAATGAGCTCGACTACTCTATACCGCTAAAAGCTTATCCGTCTTTGTTTCAAAATCTGGCTGGTTTTCACTGTATATGTATATACTGTCCTCGTGTAGTGTTCCAGTCGAGGGAATTCGATGGGACGCGATAATGCGTTTTGATGCCAAAAAACTCGTGCCAATAGTGCGACGAATTTGTACGAAAAAAAAAAAAAAAAAAATCCTTACGAAACCATATGCACGAAATTTCAAATATTCACCAAATTGGCATCCAATAACACTGACCTTTCGGAGCTCTCCATTTTAGCTGGTGGCTGTTGGTTGGGTTCTTTTTGGGCTGACCTCTACTTCACCAAGTACATCCAAAATCACCTCAAATTCTGCAACAAAAATATTCAACGATTTTTTTCCATCAGTTGCTTCATTTTTCCCCTCAACTTTGGGACGATGCTTTCAAATTCACCGCAATGTTGTACTACTGTTTTTATATAAAAATGACATGGTTACACTCAATTTTATCGTATCATCGTAAATTCTACTAATTTCTTCGGCTCAACGTGGTACATGCATAGTTCAACTAATAATTTGAGATCGTGACTCGTAAAAAAAGATGCAGCGTTGCTCAATGAGGAAACACAAAAAAACAACCTTACGACAATCAACAAAACTTTCAAGTTTTTCTTCACTCGTATAGTACAATTGAGACATAAAATTTTCCCCCGACACACAGTAAGTATAATCGATTCCGCAATTAAGACGTTCACGTTATTTTTCCATTGGTGGGCTGTAAACATTTAAAACCCCTCAACTCCTCGAAGATCGTGGATGCATGTCGCAACACTTGAAAAAATACCCGCAAAGTCGTGAAAACTGATCCGTGTATAGATTGTGCACACAAGCTAACGCAAAAGAGGGGGGGGGAGCCCTGATTGTCTGTCTCGAAAAAAAAGCCTCGAACAATAATTACACACAATCCGACAAATTGCCTCTCCCTCTGCGCTACACCGGCTGGTGGTGGAGTACATTCATGAACCGAACTTGCTGCTGATGCCTTTTTTTTGCAAGCGCATCATTGCGTAATCGGACAATACTACAATGTAACTCCCCGCCTCGTTTTTTTTTTTTTTTTTTTTTTTCTTCAAAGCAGAAGCGCAATAAAATAAATTTACATTGGCGATCGATACTTATTCGTATATACACATACACGACAAATCGCGATAATATAACGCGTGTGCATACATCTGACGAGAAATTCATTGTGCATTGTTAAAAGTGACGCTCGGCGTCAAAGCTCGGTTAAATAAATTTATAGTAATCCACTGGATCCCCCTCCCTCCCTCCTAGTGCGATTTTCTGATTTGTTTGATTAGAGGGGTATATTAATTGTGCATTGTCATGTGGCGCGATATTTTATTTTTCCACAGCGCGTGTGCACAGCGATCGACTTTTGACGATTTCCATGAAATAACAAGAGGCCCCATTGTTCGATGGAGATACCAGCAAAGTTGCATCGGGTCGATGCGTGTGTATTTTTGTGTCTAGCCACCGCGTTTCTCTCCAAGTGTGTAATACGTATATATATATGCGCGTGTACTTGTAATTGCGAGAAACACGAAAATAATGCAAAAATCGTCACAATAATTTCCGAGTAAAGTCTCTTACGAGAGCCGGACGGACGTACCGGCTATCACGCGAAAAGAAGAAAAAAACATTGTCCGCCGATCTGAAGGCTACTGCGGTGCTCTCAGCGCGCGAGCGACAAAGCGATTAGATGGCCTAATTCAAGATATTGCGGGCATTAGTCGGCTATTTTTTTTTTCCTTTCCAAGTTTTACTGAATTGCACCGGAGAGCCGATGAAATTGTTTTTCAAGCAAATTAATGACAGAGGGAGGAACAAAAAATGGTGCTGCAGTCGCCGTGAGGTAATTCTGTAAATATACTTATCGAGAGTACACGCACCTCGAAAACAAATGTTTCGCCCCGACAATCGAAATGTATGAGTCACGAGCGCGCGTACAATCGCGAGTATAAGCGCCTTTGGCGAAATAATAACTTGAAACTAATAAAAGCCTCATTGCAGGCGATTGTTGTAAGTGTTGTACTTTAAATTGGTCGTGGAACGAAAATACTCGTGATTATATATCTCGACATGTGTTACGCGAAACGCTTCATCAGCTCGACACTCCCCTGTATACACTAGATATACACGCCAAAGCTCTCGATCGTGATTGTTACGAAAAATTCCTACCAGCGGCTAACTCGTTGATTTACGCGAAAACGTGCAAAGCGTGTCGTATAAAGGTTTTGCGATATTGCTGCCAACAATTATTTTTAATATTGCATCAAGTATTGTCACACGTGACTCATTTTACCATAATACACTTATAGCCTTTGCGGACAGTTATATTGTTTATCGAAAAAATGCTTGTTGATCTACCCATGAGGATTTTGGCTCTTGGATTCTCAACAGCTTAGTACCTTTCGTCTACTTGTGCAATTTATAAATTGTCCGTACGAATGGACGATTAATATAGTGCAACTTATGTTTTCCAGTTTGAAAAAAAAAAAAAAAAAAAAAAAAAAAAAAAAAAAAAAAAACAATTAATCCATTGTAAAAACGAAGCGCAATAAAAGCATTAAATAAAGCACGCATGGTTAGCTACAAATTTTTTCCGGTTTATAGTCGCATAATGTCTCGTACAAATAAATAAGTAAAAGTGAGACTACAAAGCCGTCGTCGTGAATCATTGTATCAAGTGCATCGGCGTATATATAGAGTCGCATCAGAGTTGCTAATGCCGTACAAACACGTACTTACGTGGATAGTTATTTAAAATTCGATTAACACGATGACACGAATCGTTCGTAAAACGTGGCTCTAAAATGTAATTTTAATTTTCGTGTGTATAGAAGCGAAAAATCAATGTCTCCTGCTCGAACGAATGAAATATATCATTTGAGCGACGCGATGCAATGGAAACGTGAATTTTTTTTTTTCTTCTCTCAATCCACGAATAATTTTTCACCTCGATAACCAACAATGGCTTTTCCCACATGATCAAGGTGACGCCCCCCTTTTTGTACGCCCGCGTTATTCCATTACAATGAAAATAGTACCTATATCCATCCAAGACTCGGGGGACAATTAATATTTATGACCCATACTATTGTACCCCCCCATTGGAATTCCTTTTGATGTATAAGTTATACGGGGTCGTCATTTCTAAGCCTTTGAGAATTCAACGAGTTTCTTAGGATCGATGCGACCCGAATTCACGGAATTCTGAAATCGAAGGAAGAACTTTTATGAAAAATTCCAGCCCTGCCCGCAATTGTCCTTTTCCCCTTGATTCCATCGCAGAGGTCCATGTGTGACGCGTATATTACACTCCGGCACAATTATCCCTTGCCTACCCGGGGGAGTTGTGGTGCTTCGTCGAAACAATTTCATTTATATACTTTTACCCTTATAATCAGACCTCTGCCTAGACTATATACTTGTATTATGTATACATATATAAAAACTTGGTTTGTCCTCGGTGTGTCGCGTTATGATCTATACAGACCTAATCCATTGACGGCACTTCAAATATCCGTGATGATTCAGCTGAATTTTCGTCGCGTCGACGGCACTGTTACCCACGAACCCTTTGATATTCGGAGCCATCACAGCTATTACAATAAAATATCCGATTATTTACAAAATCAACCGTACCTGCACACGTGCGATCGGTAACGCATCGTATATGGTCACTGCTCGCGACAACGGCGTCGGGTATACATATATGGCACTTATAACTGCAAGGTTTCACAAACGAGAAAATTTATACATGCAAGTAGGCGTTGTATAAGTACCTAAGGGTATGTGATGTGTACACGGTATGAAGTTCGGGTAGATCGATACCTCCTATGTATACTAAACGCACCTTGCACGTGTATCGATCGCGCTCCAACATGCTATGCACACGACGCTGCAGCTTATTGAAATCACACGTATGTATAAAACGTGTAATTTTCATCACATCGATTTGCGTGTACTAGAACGCCCATGGACTTTACCTTGGAGCGAGAGAGATCATAGAGATTCATGGAATAAACGAAGAAAAATTCAATGGCGACCGTATTTATGCTACCGATTTGCCGTCATTTCGACCTCCACGGTGTATATAGTGCATTTTAGCATTTAGTGTGTATATGTGAGTAAAGCGTCAAATGTATAATATGTGCATGCAGCCCACGAGTAACGGAGGAAAATTATTATGGTCAAGTTCGCGGTATCGATCGCTATACGGCGCGTCGTTCTCCGCCGTTATTGCACAACAAACGAGCACACGCGCATGGTATAAATTCCGTTATACACCTGTAGAAAAAGCAAGCTCGTTCGTTCGAAAATTCGGTACAAAAAGTGCATTGTTAAAATAAAACAACAACACCCTCGCACTTACTGATCGGCGGTGAGTATAGTCGGAGCGACGCATGTAACCGTATATTATGTGTATGATCGTTAATCTCGCAACGTCAAAGGCTGGGTGAAGTGCGAAAATCGGCCGGGGATCGTTGACGGTCGCAGCAGCGGTGGCAGCAACAGCATGACCCGAACGGACCGACAGCGCAGAGCGAAGAAAACAAACGCAAGTATCGTCCGTAGGTTGCGGCCGAATCGGTTCGACTGAAAAGCCGGACTGTGGTCTCTCTGGAGTCGACGAGGAGTTGTCGTCGCGCTCGTACATGTATACGTATATTTATGTGTATGCCGCGACTGGCTAGTGATACGCAGAACCATGCAGGGGTGCCACCTTCTTCCTGTATATTACCCAAGATAATACATACATACCACTCTCTCACGCCTGCCATTGCGTAATGTGTATGAATGACATACATTTCGAACGTTTTTTTTTTTTTTTAAATTTTCTCTTTTATTTTTCGAGTAAGAAGGCGACGGCGTTTATGTATAGTCATCCGTACACGCGTGAACCAATTTGTTACAGTTGTTATGATATCATCGAGCACATGCAGGTAAGTACGTGTACTCTATTTTACAATGAGGAGGAAACGAGCGATGGACAGAAAAAGGGCGTCTGGCTCGTTCTCCTTGGGGTTCACGATCGATCAATCGATTAAAACGCGCCGCGGCGAAGTATATACACTTCTCTATTCTAATTACCCGTCGTCCGTGATGCGCATCGGCTTTCACGGCGTGTTTATTGTTTCGAGCTATACACGATTAAGCTATATATGTATGTTATATATATGTATATAGACATCGATGGTACGCTGGGGGGGGGGGGAGACGCGATGAGAATTCAGTATTATGCGTGTATGTACGTATATGAACTCTGATTGTTATCGGATATTGAAATTGGCGCGCGCTCTTGCGTAATTCCTTCGGAGGAGGATTCGAACATATGCGGGTGGCCTCTCCATCTGAAAAAACAAAGGTAATTAACCAAAGTTCGATCAAGTGGTCGTTTGATTCGAGAGATTTTTTTTGCCTTTTTGTTACCAATCGGGGGATATCACCGAGTGCGTCTCCGACGGCGCGCATTGTCTCGGCAAGGCTTACGCAATGCCGAAGCGCGTACATACAATACACATTTGTATCGCGTGTAAGTGTTTAGTTTCCGAGATCGGCTCTCACGCGATATGTACCTACTTGTGTGCGCATCGGGCTCATCCTTGTTTTTCTCTTATCCCTCTCCTCCATCAGGGGCTCATTTCAATGGAGATCGGCGTCTCGTTCGCCTGGACGTCCAGAAAAACGTCGAAAATATCGCGTTACGCGCTGACCGGTACATCATGGGTTTAAATGTTAATGGCCAATGATGGAATCGACTGTGTATATATGTTTGGTAAGCGGAGCGCGTGATACGAGTCACTTGACCCTTTTTGATGGTGATGATGATGATTCGACGGCACGTGATGTTTATTATGAGGTGTACGATTGTGTGCGTACGTATACACAAAAGTGAGCATTGGAAATGACTTGAGTGAGCGTTTGATGCTCGTATACAAATTGGCAACTCTGATTTCCTCGTTCAAGCGCGCCCATCACATTTTCACTTAATGTGAATTTCTTTTTTTTCTTCTATTAGGTACTTTTCTTAATTCGTTTTGTTCGTTCGGTTATGAATTTTGTTTTTTCACTTCCCGATAAGTAGTGACCCAAAAATGTTATTTGTGTTTTTAATCGTCTGTTTTTATATTAATATTTTTTTAAAACGGTTTTTTCGTTTTGTTACATAAGTTTTTTCACAAAAAATGCATGATTTCAATTACCGCTTTTTAACAGATGTTTTGATTAGTGTATCAACAAATTTTTTAAAAAAATGTGATGTTTTGTCGGAAAGTAATCATAAAAATGATAACGTTATTTTGTCATTTAACGTAGTTGAACTACTGAATAAAAAAAAAGTGACTTGGTATTAGAAATGAGAGTTTAAATCAGATGAATTGTTTCTTCAATTACTGGACACATGCATATTACTATATTTAAACTGAAAATTCGTGGCAGCACGTAAAGTTTTTCAACGGCCTATCTCCATTGTTTAAGCAGTGAAAATGATATAAATATTTACAATCAGTGGATATTTGATACATAAATGTCGAAAATAGTTCGAGAAAGCGTCGTGTCGGCCCAATTGTCATACCATTATTGTGTATACAATGTGGCAAAAGATATACTTGAAAGTTATTTTAACGCAACCCTGATTTCTCTCAATCAACAGAGCTCATTCCTGTTTGTAATGAAAAAAAAAAATCGCTTTGGAACCTTCACTTGTTTAAATCGATAACTTTTGATTTCGTTTAACATAAATTCCAGAAAGCAACTCCGTGATGTTTTTCACCGAGTCGAAGAGAAATTTTCACGCCCATAGGCTACATTTGTTTTTCCAATCGTCTCGCGGATGAAAAAACTTATCAGACGCACGTATATTAATCCCGTAAGTCCAAGTTTCCATGGGCAGTACATTGAAACCGAGGAAAGAAGCGGTCATTGGACGCAAACATTGACTTTCGGCGACTGTGTTTGAGGAGGACAAACAACACAAGCTTCGTTATTTATTCCCTCGTACCGTTCACAAGGTATAATATTTTCCACGCAAATGGAAGGAAGACTCCGATATATATATATATATATATATATATATAAGTATATCTCTCGCACCGACGCTTCGTACAATATTATATACACATAACTCAGTGCAATCGCAACATTTGAGCAATAAAAAAAAGTGCCGCGTCGACGAGTTGAACAACCGTTTTCCCTTTGACAGTTGTCTGCCCACGTCAGCGTTAAACGCCCCAGCTGTTTGCGCTTTTTATTTTTTCTTCTTCCTTTTCTTTCTACGCGTTTGATACATTTAAAGAGTACAATAAGTATCAGGCGTGTAGTATAACCATTTAATCCGCGCGTATATGTGGCAATAAAATTGTGAATCATGTTTACTGCAGCATCAGTGGAGTCGATCGAATGAAGGGGAGCCGATGTGCCTCGACTCGCCGATGCCCCAACTGTCGGTGCTCAAGGTCCCGAGTTCCTGACCAACGTGGACGATGCGCACTGCCACAAAGTGCGTTTGAGGTGCGATAAAAATCAAATAATTCCCAAACTTGTGGACAATGCTGGTCCTGGAGTGCTGTTGTTAAAGCGGTGTTTCGAGTGTACCGGGAGTGGAAGGAAGGATAAATCATATAAACGGGACCAGGGGTGTTCTGGGCGATTACTTCCCCGGACGGAGAAAATCGAGGAATGGTTGTAATGGTCGGTGGGGGACGCTGTCCTCCGCTCCTAGTGGGTGGACTCGTCGTAGCGTGTATAATGATGGTTTGCAACTGGTGGACCCTGTCGTCGGCGAATCTCGAGCTGGTCAGGCAGATAGACGAGCTCAACGAGCAGATAAAGATCTGGTGAGAGGCGCATTTGCTTAACATAATTTACGGTGGTTTTTTGTTTTTGGTGTTAATTTTTTTTTTTTTTTTTTTTTTTTTTTTTGCATAGCGTGGAAGAAAGGGATCTGTGCGTGACGCAGAAGGAAGAGACCAAGAAGCAACTGGACGCTTCCCAGGACGATGCAAGGACCGCACACGTCAAACTGTCGCAGGTCGAGGATACCCTGACGACCTGCAACACCGAGCTCAAGTCGTTTCAGCAGAACGAAGTTTCCAAGACTGTTACCCTGGAGGCTTTGAGGGTTGCCAAAAACACCGTTACTGCGAGGTTAAACGCACAAATAGAGGAGAACAAGAAGTTGGAGGAGGAGTTGAGCAAAGTAAGGGTTCATATCTTTTTTTTTTTTTTTTATTCAA